TGTGGAGGTTACAAGGCTCTTGTATATAAAAGTGAGGCTTTTGTCATGTGCTAATGTACCACCTTCTAATATTGTATTCCTGTTAGGTGGACTGTCTAACTTATTTCCATTGGGGTCCTTAATCTTGTCCCCCCAGGATGCGACCCACACCAGTCAACTAACACCCAGGTACCTATTTGCTGCTAGGTGAACAGGACAACAGGTGTAAGGAAACGTGTCGAAATGTTTCCACCCGCCGGGAATCGAACCCGGGCCATCCGTGTGTGAAGCGGGAGCTTTAGCCACCAGGCCACCGGGCCTTTACTGCTAAAACTTCCACTATATCATTTGAGGCATTAAGCAGTTATGTGCAAATAAGTGACTGCGATATACAGGCCAACCCCCCTTTCCTTTTGCCTGTTCACTCTGTCACATCTGTATAGGTTGCAACCTGGGATCCATATGTCGTTGTCTATGTGATCCTTTATGTGGGTCTCTGTGAAAGCCGCGAACATTGCATTTGCCTCTGCAAGCAGTCCATGGATGAAAGGTATTTTGTTGTTCGTTGCTGAGTTTAGATCCTGTATATTTGCAAAGAAGAATGTCATCGGACTGGTGGTATTGGTGGTACTGGGGGGGAATTTTTTTCTCGGCACTAGTATCTATATATGTTGGTTTGGAGTGGAGGCCATCGACTGTGGTTCCACTCCAGAAATGACTGGATTTGGCGTACGATTTCTGCCATTTCCTGCCAGTTTTTTTTTTCATGGCACTAAAAAACCTCTCTCTTGAGTGGCTGTGGCTACCCAAGTTTTCCCATGGCCTGGATGTTTTGTATCTTCTTGTCCCCTTTAGATGGTGTGCCTGGCAATTTAAGTTATAGCACAGTCTTTCCTGTACTGAAGAAGGACACATTTCAGGGTGAAAAAGCCTACAGGAAGGGAGTTTGCATTTTCCTGTTGTCATATGGGCATGGCATTTTCTAGGGTGGTCAAAGTTGCACGTCCCATCTGTTTTTCCAGATTTCCCATGCCTGCAGATACCAAGTGCATAATATGTGCACAGGCTTGGTTTCCGTTTGTCTTGGGTTTTCATGACTGTATTCCCTGTTGGTGCATGTTTACCTGTATCATTCCTATCCTCACTAGTACTAACAATGGAGCTCTCACCAGTTGTTTCTGGTAATATATCCTCACTATTACTAGTGGAGTCCCTTGTTTGCTATCTCTTGTGGTATTACTAGTTTGTAATATTGGTTTTATCATGTCCTTGACTACACTTGTTTCCCCACTACAGCTCCTGTCTCCCTCGAGGCCATTTATATGCATTCCCTCATGCGTACAGTTACTGTCTACCAGGACAGCACCTCCAGCCTCACCATTCATCAGCTCTCACCAAAGTAATAAAGAAAGCCAAACAACTATACTACTCCAGTAGATTCACAGACACTAGAGGAGATATAAAAAAGACCTGGAAAACACTCTCTCAGATTCTAGGGACCCACAAACTGAGAAAAACCAAGAATATTGTCCTAACTAAACCTAATGAAACACCACTACATCCCACTGACACAGCTAACAAGGTAAACGACTTCTTCTCAACCATAGGATCTAATCTCGCCAGTAAAATCCCACATACCAATGCCCATGCCGGGGACTACCTAAATGGGAATTTCCCTAATTCCTTCTATCTTGCACCTACTGAGCCCACGGAAGTCACCGAGATTATAAAGTCACTTAAAAATAACTCGGGGAATCTGTCTCATGTCCCACCATTACTGTACAAGCAAGCGGCCCATGTCCTTTCACAAGCTATTTCATTACTTTTTAACAAGTCACTAGAGACTAGCACCTTCCCGAAACTACTCAAGATGGCAAGGGTTACACCAATACATAAAGGTGGTGACCCTACAGACTTAAACAACTATAGGCCAATATCTAACTTACCATTGCTATCCAAAATCTTTGAGAAACTCGTGCACAGGAGACTATTCATTTTTTAATGGCTCAAACATAAATCAACCCTGCCAATTTGGATTCAGGAAAAATAAAAGCACTAATGATGCAATCATAAAATTGCTAGATCTGCTGTACACAGCATTGGAAAATAAGGAATATCCACTAGGAATTTTTATTGACCTAAGAAAAGCTTTTGACACAGAAGACCACGACATCCTACTCCACAAACTTGATCATTACGGTATAAGAGGCCATGCGCTTGCTTATTTCAAATCTTACATTACTAATAGGTATCAGTATGTCACCATTAAAGACACAGCATCAGCAACATGGCCAATTGATACTGGAGTTCCGCAGGGAAGTGTTCTTGGTCCCCTGCTCTTCCTCATATACATCAATGACCCTTCCAAACGTATCCAACACCTGAAACCCATTCTCTTTGCTGACGACACGACTTATGTCATCTCTCACCCTAATCTTGCCACCCTCAACACGATTGTGAATGAGGAGCTGATCAAAATATCGACTTGGATGACAGCCAATAAACTTACGCTTAACACTGACAAAACCTACTATATTATGTTTGGTAGCAGAGCAGGAGATGCACAAGTTAACATTAAGATTGACAACACGCTAATTACCAGAAATAATGGGGGCAAATTCCTAGGCTTATACCTTGACAACAACCTGAATTTCAGCACCCAATCCAGCATATAACCAAAAAGTATCCAAAACGGTTGGGATCCTCTCCAAGATACGATACTACGTGCCGCAAAATGCCCTTCTCACACTATACCACTCACTTATTTATCCATACCTCACCTATGCTATTTGTGCTTGGGGATCAACTGCAGCAACACACCTAAAGCCAATAATAACCCAACAAAAAGCTGCAGTAAGAATAATCACTAAATCCCATCCCTGGCAACACACCCCCCCACTCTTCATAACCTAAACTTACTCCCTGTTCAGTACATCCCACTTACTACTGTGCAATCTACATCTACAGGGCCTTACACTCTAATATCAACATTGACCTAAAACGCTTTCTTGATAGTTGTGACAGAACCCACAGGCATAACACCAGACACAAACATCTCTACGACATTCCCGGTGTCCGACTAAACCTTTACAAAAATTCAATGTATGTCAAAGGCCCTAAAATCTGGAATACCCTACCTGAGAACTCTAGAACTGCAGACACATTCATCACCTTCAAAACTACCATTAGAAAACATCTTATCTCCCTGAAAACACCTCGTCAACTAACTACACGAATACCACCTGGTGGTTCACACTTACACTCACTCACTCATTTGACCATAAACAGAAATATTAATCCCAATCTTAAAATAATTAATCCTGTGATATTCCAATACTGAAACTATGTACTGTGCCAAAACAAAAGCATTCACATTGCTAAACTCACAAACTAGTATTTAGTCACTTAGCCATAATACCAACTTACCTCATAATTTGTAATATTTTACAATTAAGAATAAAACTAAGTCTGCCCGAAATGCCTAGCCATGCTAAGCGTTCTAGTGGTACACTCTGTAATCACTATTTTACAACATGTAAACCACACAATAACCAAATTTCTGTAAACTCAGCATTGTAATCCTTATAGAGAATAAACTTTGAATTTGAATTGAATTCAATTGAATTACTGTCTACCAGGACAGCACCTCCAGCCTCACCATTACTGTCTACCAGGACAGCACTTCTAGCACTTAAGAATTAACAAAATTACCCATAACATGACGAGTAATCGCGACCAGTCCCACCATATAAAATAGTTACCGCTCCCTCATACCTGGTGTTCTTTGGTCCTGGATAAGAGAAAACAGAGTGTTTGTAAGGCTAACTGCATTGCTTTACTAGTTTCATAAAAAAAAAAAAGTAATGCGAATTTCGCGAAAAAAAAATCCCGAGCAAGGAGGGCGACCTGCTTTTTCTGTGAATAACTCGGAAATAAACTATAGATTTATTTCACGAAACCCTCCATTTATTATAGAATTAAATTAAATAATTTTAACAGAAAACATAAATCGATGATTGTTCTACAATTTGTCAAACGCAACATGGAAATACACCAAATACTGTATTTTTGGATTTGTGTGTGAGTAAAGGGCGAGATATTTTGCAACATGTCAAAAACTTGGCAACTTTATTTTTTTGTAGAATAAAGCTATCTGCAGGGTGTGCAATTAAAGAAATATCGCATTAGGATCGTTTTATGAGTAGCAAGTCTCAAAGCCACCTTTCGTAGTGCCATATAGGCAGGGGTTCTTGCCAAATGCCATTTTCAGTAAATATTATTTATCTCCGTTTTTTGGGGGATATCTTATTGCAACTTACACGCAAGGAGAGTGGACACTTCACGTACACCAAAAATGATAGAAATCGAAAGAAAGAAAAAAAAGAGGTCGAAATTGGTCATGGGTCTCCTTTAATTAAGGATCCAGTGAAGCATGCCAGTGAGGACATTCCAGTGATGACCATCTCGACAAATACCATCGAGAACATCGTTTTAGTTGGGGACAGTCAGGTGACGTTTATGGACAGGGCCTTTTTTCTGAGAGATAGGAAGAGGAGGCAGATGATGGGTTATCCAGGGGCTGGGATGGAGGATATTGTTAGCCGTCTGGACGACATCATGAGATGTAATGGAAGCAATCCTAATATCTGTCTCAGTGCTGGAGGCAACAATGTTGGCAGACGAAGGAATGAGGACCTGATTAGCAGGTATAGGACAGCATTTGACTTGCCTGTTTCGCAAGATGAAGTCTAGGATTTTTACTTAATTCATGGTATAACTAAACAAATCTTTTAGGACAATTGTGTTGGAGTGGTCTGAGCTTTGCTCGAACCTCAAAGCACAGAAAATCAGCTAACTTATTGCACCTTTACGTGAAACGCTGCTTGTATTCAGTGGCTACAATGCCAATGAATACCTTATATTTATAATAAACTTTCACTGAACTAGCAGGGTAAAAAACAAGAAATGAAAATGAAAATTCTGAACCCAATAATAATGCAACATTAATTCATCTCTTTCAGACCCTTCCATCAGTTAGAACGAGAATTTGATAAGCGCAGTGCATCTCAAATCATTTTCGCCTCTGTGTCTCTCCCGTCTGCGTCCCTAACCAAACACAGAGGCATATCTAAAAGATTGTCCAGTGGCAGGAGGCAGTGGAGACCCAGGAGGTACAGAGATGTCCGAGAAAAATGACCAGGTGGCCAACTCTACGCTGGTTCTTCTCCAGCATCATAACTTGCCAAGTAATATAACCTGCTATATATTTTACCATAAATGTATATACACCGAGAGGTATGTATACACACAGGTTGCCTAAATTTTAAATTTTATGTATATTAGTTAACAAGTAAAATACAGCTTTTTAGATTCATTTGCACGAGAATGGATATCAATCAAACAATTACCTCCACTCAGTATGCCAATCCACGCATGCACACACCAACGCATGCATACACCAACGCATGCACACACAAGCATATACCCAATTAATCAGGCAAACACATTTGTGCACACTTACATAAAAATCACACACATCTCGCATGCACACACAGAGAGACAGACACACAGACACACAGACACACAGACACACAGACACACAGACCACACACACACACACACACACACACACACACACACACACACACACACAGGAAAGGTTTGTTCCCAAGGGAAACAGAAATAATAGGAAGACCAAAGCGAGTCCTTGGTTTACCCGAAGATGTAGGGAGGCAAAAACTAAGTGCACAAGAGAATGGAAGAGGTACAGGAGGCAAAAGGACCCAGGAAAATGAGATTAGTAGAAGAGCCAGAAACGAGTATGCACAGATAAGGAGGGAGGCCCAGTACGAAAACGACATACCATCGAAAGTCAAGTCTGACCCGAAACTGCTGTATAGCCACATTAGGAGGAAGACAACAGTCAAAGACCAGGTGATAAGGCTGAGGACCTGTGTCACTGACGTGTATAGTATGGAAAGTTATGGAGAAGATTATCAGGAGGAGAGTGGTGGAGCACCTGGAACGGAACAAGAGTATAAACGCCATCGAGCACGGATTCATAGAAGGCAAATCCTGTGTCACAAACCTTCTGGAGTTTTATGATAAAGTAACAGAAACAAGACACGAGAGAGAGGGGTGGGTTGCTTGCATCTTCTTGGACTGCAAGAAGGCCTTCGACACAGTTCCTCACAAGAGATTAGCGCAGAAGCTAGGGGATCAGGCGCATGTAACAGGAAGGGCACTGCAATGGATCAGAGAATACCTGACAGGGAGGCAACAACGAGTCATGGTATGTAATGATGTATCACAGTGACGAGCGGGGTTCCACATGGGTCGGTCCTAGAGCCATTGCTATTTTTGGTATATGTGAATGACATGATGGAAGGGTTAGACTCAGAAGTGTCCCTGTTCGCAGACGATGTGAAGTTAATGAGGAGAATTAAATCAGATGAGGACCAGACAGGACTTCAAAGAGACCTGGACAGACTGGACACCTGGTCCAGCAAATGGCTGGACCAGGTGTCCAGCCATTTGCTGTGTCCAGCCACTTGCTGTGTGTGTGTGTGTGTGTGTCCACACACACACACACACGCACACACATAGCTTGGTCACGAATCTAACAGCAACATTAGGGCTCCCTGTATCTTACAGTTTTCAGGGTGTATTTAGTAACTTGAAGAGGTCGGTAGTCGTGATGGGGTCAGTGAATAACCCTAAAAGTGAGAAACGAGATTACCAAAGTGAGAAAGGTAAGGGAAAGAGCACAGTTTTATAGCAAATTTAAAAGTGCCAATATTGGATAGAAGAGAGAGGGTGAGACACACCTACCAGGCAGGCGCTGCTGCTGCCATTATTGATCATAATAATACAAGTATCAATAGGACAAGTGGTGACTCAAAGTGAGAGAGATAAGTGCAGAGATAGGTTAGTCTAGTGGGCGAGCAGCAAACGAAGCATTACAGTGAGTGAGAATACAACAAACACAAAGAAACAAAACATGACACAAAACTAGAGGGAAAACTGCAGAGTAGCATCATTCTCGGGCATCTGCTGCCTTTGATATATCTTTGAAAAGTTTGGAGAGTCTCACTGTTTTTGGAGCCCGGTCATGGACCAGCCTCGTCTGGTGCTTGCCCGGTCAGCCAGGTGGTTGCTGCTGAAGGCTCGCGGCCCCACATATCCATCATAGCCTGGTTGATCTGGCACCCGGTGAAGATACTTGTCCAGTTTCCTCTTGAAGGCTTCTACACCTGTTCCAGACATGTTTCTGATTTCTTCTGGTAAGCTGCCCATAGACAGGTTTCCTGTCAAAAAATATGGAAAGAAGTGTAAATATCTGGGAAGATAAGTGGAAACCTTAAGAGAACGAGAAGAGTGAATATGATTCTAGTCAGATGATGAAGCTATCTGCGGAATTATTTGGAAGGATCAGACACAGCGCGACAGTGCCAGCAATGATAACAAGTAGCCCACTACTACCATTTCATTGCCATTTCTCATAGCTGAAAGTTAAGAGACCACTCACCCCTAGAGGGTCTGAGTGTCAGAAGTATTTATTAGCATTTAATAAGGATGAGATGAATAGGGGTTAGGAGGTAAAACACCAGTGTGCAGGCATGGATAAACAATATAGGTCCCTTACAAACACACACACACACACACACATATGCACACACACACACACACACGCACACACACACACACACACACACACACACACACACACACACACACACACACACACACACACACACACACACACACACACACAGCTCAAAAAAAGGGAGGAAGACTGGGAAGGAGGCTAGATGAGCTTGCAAGGAAGATGGAGGAGAGGTTAGCAGCAGAATGCAGGTGGAAGCAACATGCCACAGTAGCAGAAACCAAGATACAGAGATTAGAAGAGGAGCTGAGACATCTGAAACAGCATAGAGACAAAGATATTACAGAAGTAGCATCGGCAATGGCTACATCCGACACAGACAACGGGTCTGAAGGGCGCATGTGCAGCTAAACTGTATGCAGAGGTCCTGTCAAACCCACACAGGGCCAAAACAAAGGCAGGAAGCACTGTAGGACAGAATGAGAGGTTGAAAGACATTGAAGGAACTAGGACATGAGCAGGGACCTTACCAGACACTTGTGGGGGCCAGGCACAGGTGAGCAGGAAGGACAAACCAATGAGCATAGGGGCCATAGCTAGGGAAGGGACTGAAGGAAGGAACACTCCACAAGAAGGAACTAAAACACCTCAGAGGATGCAATGGGAGTCACAGTGGGAGGTGGAAAGGGAGAGATCAGTTTTTGTCTATGGGCTAGACAAAGCTAAAGGGGAAACCTATGATGAAAGAAAGCAGGTGGAGAAAAAAGCGATTGAAGGTATCATGAAGGTGATAGGCGAGGGAGACATGACCCAGGTGGCAAATTTTCGGAGAATCGGGTGGTTCACAAAAAAAAGGAATCGGCCTCTCAAAGTAATTTTCAAGGCAGAATCAACCCGAACCATGATCCTGCAGGAGAAAGCACGGCTGAGAGGCAAACAGGAGTTCATGAGTGTGTACCTCGATCGAGACAGAACACAGGAGGAAAGGATGATACTGAAAGAGAGAATGCAAAAACGAAAGGAGGAATGGGAGGAAATGAAAAAGGAGAGCAGAATAACCCAGGAACAAGTGGAAGGACAAGCACACCCCCCAGAAACACCTGCAGAAGGACTCCAGCCACGACACCCCCAAGGCAACTGAACAATCCAAACCAACCATCACACACCGATCCCTCTGTTCCCACCCCCCGCACCACAGTTACAGTATTAGAAGAGAGGTTGAAGGTTTGGTACACAAATGCGGATGGATTAACGAATAAACATGAGGAATGGCAAGAAAGAATCAATGAGAAGTCCCCAGACATCATAGCAGTTACAGAAACAAAACTCACAGAGACAATAACAGATGCAATCTTCCCACCAGGATGAGGAAAGATAGAAGGGGCAGAGGGGGAGGAGGGGTTGCTCTGCTCATAAAAAACAGATGGAAATTCGAGAAAATGGGAGGCATAGACGAGACGGGAGAAAGAGACTACATAGTAGGTACACTTCAGTCTGGAGAGCACAAGGTGGTCATTGCAGTGATGTATAATCCACCACAGAACTATAGGAGGCAAAGAGAGGAATATGAAGAGAGCAACAGAGCAATGGTGGACACACTTGCTGAGGTGGCAAGAAGAGCTCACTCCAGCAGAGCAAAGTTGCTGGTTATGGGGGATTTCAACCACAGGAAGATTGACTGGGAAAACCTGGAGCCACATGGGGGTCCCGAAACATGGAGAGCCAAGATGTTGGATGTGGTGCTGGAAAACCTTATGCACCAACATGTTAAGGACACTACCCGAGTGAGAGGGGAGGATGAACCAGCAAGATTGGACCTTGTGTTCACCCTGGGCAGCTCAGACAATTAGGGCATCAAATATGAGAGTCCCCTAGGAGCTAGTGACCACGTGGTTCTGTGATGTGAATACATAGTAGAGTTGCAAGTGGAGAGAGTAACAGGAGTTGAATGGGAAAAGCCTGACTATAAAAGAGGGGACTACATAGGGTTGAGGAACTTCCTGCAGGAGGTTCCGTGGGACAGAGAACTGGCAGGAAAGCCAGTAAATGAAATGATGGAATATGTAACAACGAAATGCAAGGAGGCAGTGGAAAGGTTTATTCCCAAGGGGAACAGAAACAATGGGAAGACTAGAACGAGCCACTGGTTTACCCGAAGGTGTAAGGAGGCAAAAACAAAGTGCAATAGAGAATGGAAAAAGTACAGAAGGCAGAGAACACATGAAAATAAGGAGATCAGTCGCAGAGCCAGGAACGAGTATGCACAAGTAAGGAGGGAGGCCCAGCATCAGTATGAAAATAACATACTATCGAAAATCAAGACTGACCCGAAACTGTTGTATAGCCACATCAGGAGGAATACAGTCAAAGACCAGGTGATCAGATTGAGGACAGATGGTGGAGAACTCACAAGAAATGATCAGGAGGTATGTGAGGAGCTGAACAGGAGATTTAAGGAAGTTTTTACAGTAGAGACAGGAAGGGCTTTGGGAAGACAGCACAGAAGGAAACATCAAGAGGGAATATACCAACAAGTGTTGGATGACATACGAACAAACGAGGAGGAGGTGCAGAAGCTGCTAAGTGACCTTGTTACATCAAAGGCGATTTGACCGGACATCTCCCCATGGGTCCTTAGAG